CGGCACAGAAACACCAAAATCACAGAGACGAACACACAGAGAGTACCTCTGATGACTTGGTCATGTCTAAATCATTCTGGTCCAATCAAACCAGAAAATTGTTGGGGTGAACTGGTATTTCTAGCTTCTTCCTTAGCGAGCCGAAAGAGGCTCAGTGCAAGGCACACCCACATGGGTGTGTCTCCAAGTAGGGCCCTGCGAATGACTTGTTTTGCTTTTTTTCTTCTTCTTTTTTCCCCAGCAAAACCTCCCCATTGGAAGCCAAGTTTGCTGGCTTTTCAGAGCAAACGAAGCCATCGACAGGCGGTCATCGGCTTGATACTGACCGCCGGGGTCCCTGGAAGTGGCGTGGGGATGGCTGTGGATGGTGCCTTCTCAAATATCAAGTGTGATTTTCCACAAAGCTTCAAGATGTATGTCCTGATCCCGCTGGCTTTCCTGATCAATCAGTGAAAAGCAGTCAACCGAAGAGGCCGCTAAGAGATTCAGCAGTACTGTCTTAGCAAACAAAGCGCACAACCGAACAGGTGGCTAAGAAATTAACATCAAGAGCAGTTGGTGTGCGCTGCTTTTTCATCCGTCTTGATGGCATTTGTTGGTTCGATGCCAGGCTGCGGCCTTTCTGTTCCACGGGCCTCGCCAAGAGCAGTTTGTTAGCCACTGTATCACACACAAAAAACCGTAGACAACTAAAACGACCTCGAGAAAACACCAACAGAAACAAAAAGCAAAGCGCCGGGGTCAATATTCAAGTTTGAAGCTGCCAGCCCTTTGCTTGGAGCATCCCTGAAACAATAGACAGAATTTGGGAAGGCTGCTTTCTGTTCAACCACTTTGGAAGGGAGCCTTTGGGGTGATGTTCAAAGGATATATTTGGGTGTCTCATTCTTGACATTTCCCTGCCTGGGTTGTTTTGAAGTTAAACGAACGCGGTTACAAGCCCCGACTTGTCGCCGTGACAGATAGATCCGAGGTGTGCTACTGCGGCGTGAAGCAGTACCAGCCCAAGGTCCTCACAGAGGCGAATCGATGCTTTAGCCGCATGCGAATGCATGGAATGGGGTTTCTGTGGGATAGATTGCCCTTTTGAACAGTGCGAGTGCCAGACCATCCTTATCCCTATGTTTCCCTTTGGGTTGATCTACCGTTCTGGTTGCCAGTTTAGAGTGAGATTCCTTTTGGTGTGATGAGGGAACCAGGCCATCCAGATAAAGGGCCGATGACTTGGACACAGGATGATTGTTTTGATGAGTGTGGCTGGCCGCATGTTTCTCATGTTGCAGGGAGACCCCATCATGATATGGGTTTGTGGGTGTGGCTTTTTCTGGGGGTACCCCTTTTTTTGTGGCTTTCAAGAGAATCCAAAGCCATTTTTTGGGGGTCCCCAAAAGCAGAGACACCTATTCGTCAAAATAGGGATTCGGGCCCCAGACCTGGCTTGTGTTTTCCTGCCAAAGCTGATGGCGAGCCGATGCGTGGAATCCCTCCGGTCCTATGGAAGCTCCCGCCTCAAAACGATCACCGTCCGCCTAGGTTGACCTGGCTTCCATGTCAGCCCAAAGCCGCAGTCGACCGAGAAAAAGAAAAAAGCGCGCAGGGCCCGTCGTACTTCGAGAAGGTCATCCCAGAAGGGCGGGGGACCTCGGAATGGCTCGAGAGATCGAAGTTTCAGGCGGATTTGGATACTCCCTGCAAATCATTGAGCCTGAAACCCGGAAAGGGGCCCCTCCAGAGGAGCTTCCTCGACAAATGGTGTTTTCTGGGGGGAGTATCCTGTGTGGAAAAGACTTGTGGACCAAGCCGCGCAAGGGCTACATTCTGGTGAAAAGGGTAAGAGAACGATGAATACAGAGTGTCCGCGAGATCGAGTTCCAAGGGATGAAGCTACTGGCCGACTTGCGTGCAAAGGTCCATTATCAGAGAATTACACAGGCAAATCAACATGCACAACATCAAGCACGAGAACGCCGCGGGCAGCTGCACCAGTCACCTGTTCTATTGCCGCACCTTTCTTTTGGGGCCCAGGGACCTCCAATTCACAGCGCGCAAGGGCTCGAGGGTTTTCCGGCTCTCGCCCGCAAGAGCGACCCGTGCCAAGCACTTTGGACCATTCGGGTTCCATTGGGATGATGGGTGGCTCAAATTTAAGGAAGGGCAAACCGCAGGTTCTGGTCTTTGGTTCCATTTACCAAGTGCCATGTTGGTTTCCATTTTTTTGCAGCTGCAGGAGGCAAAGGGAGCGCTCAAAGCCCCCGCTGGCCATGTTCTGTTTGGTTTGGATACCCCCCCCTTAAAAATGGAATGGGAGCGGGGTGAATTCTGGAATTCCATTATTGTGGTTCCATATGTATGGGACTCGATAAATGGAATCTTCGGTGCATCCAAGGGACCAACTCCTTCAGGTTTCCTTTTGGTTTCCCCCCTCCAAGGGGCCCGACCCCATTGAGAAGCCGCTTTTTTTCGCCGGGCCAGGTGGCGCCCGGAGGATATCTGGAAGAAGCCGCCTGGCAGCACGGGGGGTGGCACGACCCCGGTTTTTGTGTAAGGCTTGGTATGCGCTTTATCAGGTTGCCCTTCACTTGTGGCCTGGATCGTGGTGGGATTTGATCTTGTAGAGGGTAGATGGGAAAGGACTTTAGACCCGGGACCAGTGGGAAAACCGCATCTTTTTTTTTGGTACGCCTATAGAGGTATGCGCTTGGGTATGCGTGCGCCAAGTTCAGTTGCCCTGTCGGCCCACGTCCGGATCTTGCGCATAGTCTCCCAAGGAGACTCTTTGTGCGAGCACTAGATAAAACCTTGGCTTGCAAGCTGTCGTTTTTCTTGTTTGGCGGCGGCTCCCATGGCGAATCGACAATTTGGCCGCAAAGCAAATCAACCTGCAGAAGCAAACATCACTTTCTGTGCTTTGGGAACTTGCAGGATCCTTGTGCGTTGTCCTAGCACAGAACGTGAGGCTGTTTCTGGGAGTGCTGGCTTTGGTACCTTGAAGCTTCTTCGTTTCACCCATGTGCCTTTTTCATGCAAGTTACATGTCCATTGAGCGTCCGAAGCAGGTTGCTCCTATTGCCTCTGCAAAAGATTATCAAACAAGAAGTGTAGAAAAGTGTTTTTCTCTTAGTTGCTTTTCCCTTAGCTTTGGCTTCCTCTGGATTTACTAGCCAAGTTTCTACCCGTCTCAAAGCAAAGGGGTCAACAAGAGTGCGAGGGCTCCAGGTTGCTTGGGTTTGGTGTGATTTGGTTTGATTTGGTTTTGGTCTGGTTTGTTTGTGGTCGTCTAGAGTCAAGTTGCTTGGAACAGGATAGGCTGCAGACCCTGCAGGACTTTGCCAAGGTTGATTTTTGGGAGGGTTGGCTTTGGGTTTGCTTGTGTCAGTTTTGGGGGGCTGCTTTGAGCACTCGCGGTTGGTTCTCCGGGGGTTTCGGGTGGGCCTGTTTTGGCACCTCAACCCAAAGATCACATGAGTTTGACCTGTAGCCAACCCGACGCATCCCATCGACCTCAAATTGAACGGGTGTGCATTTTTATGAGGGGTACCCTTTTTGGGCTTGAGGAAAACGAAAGGGGCTCAATTATCTTCTTGGGGCCCGCACGCTTGCCATGCAATCAACTCGGATCCAGGATCCGGCCTGGGCCAGTGAATTCCGCCAAGATGGGCATGCAAGCCATGCGGGGCGGGCCAGCAGTCTGAATGGCCCTTCCTTTGATAGCGGATCTGACCCAGAACTTGTGTCACAAACATCAGCCGCGGCATCGGATTGCATGGGGCCAAAGCCTCTCCCCCTCTCCCGCGCGCGCAAATCGCGAACTGTTGGGCCGCCTGGGAATGTACCAGCGAATTCAACCCGGGCATGCGTATCGGGCTGCAAGCTGGCCGCTTTTCTGAAACCGATGGCTATAAGAAGATATTGAAGGGAATACCATGTAATGATGTCCACTAAGACCCCCACCAAATGAGCAAACAATGCCAGATGGGAAGCAGCCACGATGTGTTTGTTGCTTAGCATGTTCTTCAGCTGGGCAAAGTCCGTGATGTTAAACAGTGCTTCTGAATCCAAGATAAGATTATGTGTCGAAAATGGGGGTTTTCTTTTAAGCAACCAAAAACCACACAAAGGGGGTACCCAAACAAAAGGACCACCCCCCCTGTAGTTTTTCCTGTGAATTTGATAAAGCACTTCCCCCTATGTTCAATCAGAATGTCTTCAGGAAAAGCAAGTTGCAGAGGGCCTCAAAGAAAGTCCAACGGTTCCTAGGAGCATCCCCCCTTGTTTTAATGGCGCGGCTTTCGCTTTGCCCTGGACATGAATCGCAGAAAGCAAAAGTAGAAGAGACGCTTGGACATCAGCCAAAGGGGCGTGGTTGCGGAAAGGGGGGAGCGGCCACTTTTTGTGATACCAAGGGAATCCCCTTCCAAGTGATAAAGTTGAAAGGAATATTTTCCACAACCATGCCAAATGAAGATCCAGGCGGATTGCAGTGGGCAAGACGGCCACTGTGAGTGCAAGCCAACCTGAAGAGACCCATGCGAGGAATTGCTGGATATGTGATCGCTCGGCCGCTCGGGTCAAAGGAACACACAGCGCCAACAGAGGACAAACACATCGAGCAGCGCACTGTTTGCCACACAGAAAGCCGAAGGCGCGCACAAAAAGTGTCACGCAGAAAGCCTAAGGGAGCATCGGCCCACGGAGGCTGTACGAATCTTTTTCGTGCTTGGCTTTTGCGATTTGGACGCCGGGGGCCCAATTCCGGGGGATGGAAGTAGTTTCGGTGATGTGTGGATTGCCTTCTTGGTTGGCAGGCTGGCTGCTTGGGACGTGGATTCGTGATCCTTTTTGTGGACACTACATGATTTTGCCAATGGGAGGATGCATGTAGCATCGGACACTGAGCTTGTGATTGGGGGAGCCCATCTTGCCACGTCTGTTGCGGAATGCCCAACAAACCAATTGGAGCCCACTCGTATCCTCTTGTCCCTCATGGAAGTGGAAGGGTGTTGGAAGATGACTGTCTTGAAAAGGCCCCCGGGAATTTTTGGACAGGCACCGCATTCATCCAGATCACCGCAGGTGTTGGCGCTCCAGATCGAATGTCAGGCTCTGTAGGTCCATTTGAAGGTCCATTTGAAGGTCCGAGTACTTTCGATGGCTATGGGTAAAGGAGTTGTTGAGCTGAAGCTGCAGTCGGTGAGGCGCCATGTCCCTCAGGCCGATGGCTGGTGGCGACGGGGAGCCGATTTCTCGCTGTCGTCACTGGCAAGAGGGCTGCATCTTTTTTCCTGCCCAAGTTTTTCGCGCGGAATTCCCACAGAGGCTGGCAGCGGCATACACCCATGGTTACAGGGGGAAAGCTGGAAGTGCTATGATTGGCCTGGGATTGGCCAGGGCCGTGATTTTGCCTGCCAGGGTATCAAAGTCGGAGCTGCTTTCCCTTCAACCCGTCACTTACTTGACTTCGGGGGGGGGGGGGAAAAACATTGGGCCAGTTCAAGCAGCCATCTTCGGGTGTCCAAACTTGAGTTTGTCTCAAACCATTCGGATCGGAGCCGGTCGCCTCTGGCGGTCGGTCTAGTCAGGAGCCGGGCCTGGCAGGGCGCAGCATTCACGAGGCGCGTGTTTGAGCCGTTTGGTGCTTTGGGGGTTTGGTCTATACACGTGAGATGATGTATATGCTCATTGATGACATGCATACAACGATGTGTACGTATATACATATATATATATATACACATATATATATATATAATATATATATATATATATATACATATATAGTGTATATATATATATATATATATGTATATCTCTCTCTGTGTGTGTGTGTGTGTGTGCACGTCTAGAAATATATATATATATATGCACATGTAGGTATGTGTTCATATAATATACATGTATATATATATATATGCACATTTACATACGTTTGAAACCACTGTTCGTCATTCTGTAAGTCCTTTGAGCAGCACCATAAACCCTGATGATAAGTAGTTAAGCGGGGTGTCCTATAGAGCCGCAAGGCGGAAGCTGAAGCGCGGGCCGCGAAGGCTTACAAAAGCCTATCGCGAAAGTGCCCGCAAAAAAGCCCCGTCGCGAAAGAAACGGACACGCATCCATCCTGATGATTGGGAGTTGATTGCAACAAGCTTTGTTTACTCTGGCGCATGCGCATGGTGGTCAAAGCTGTCCGTATGGCAAATTGTGCTTTGTCTTTTGACTAGGTGTACACGTTTTGAAAAGACACAGGTTTTCCGCGCAAGCTGCGCGAAAGCCTCGCGAATTTCCCGAGAAAGCAAACAAAGCCAAAGACCCATCCCAGAAAGGGTGCTCCATGCACAGGCTGAAGTGCACTGTCACGCTCCTGCGGACGTGCTTTTTCGATCCGCATCCGCCGAGAAAGCGCGGTGAAAGCAAACCGGGAATGAAAGCAAAAGCATGTGGTCGCGGAAGGGTCCGCGAAAGGGGTCCGCCAAAGCAAATAGATACCGCTTTTTGCACCAATCGGGTTGGGCATGGCCACTAATTTCGGGGTGTTTGGGGCCCATTTCCTGCAGATTTTCCTGTAACCAAACCCTTTCGACTGCTTATTTGGGGGTGGGGGTGTTGATCAACATTCGCGGCCCCAAAATGACCATGGCTAGCTTTTACCATGCGGTGCAAGTCGTATCTCTTTTGTGCGGTTTCCCCTTTTGGTCATCCCGTGTTTACCGGACCTTTTGATCGACCCCATTTGGGATCAAGAAGTTTGTCCCACACTTCTGTGGTACAAGGGAATCTCCCCCTTTTTCGGGAGCTTAGTCTCTGGGATGCCCAAGCTGTTGTATGGCTGTGGTTGTCAAAGCCAACGGGATCCCATTTTGGGGTAGGTGAATTCACCACCCATTGTTGAACCTATTTTTATGGGGCTTGGGATGTTCACTGGGGGTATGGCTGTATCAACTTCCATTTGCTTAAGACTATTTTTTATTTTATTTTCCTTCGTTGGTTTCAAAAGGAGTTTATCACTACTGGACATGTTCTTTATTTTTTTTTCCAGGGGGCTGAACCAAAGGGAGGTGTATATCAGAGAAGTGGGTTCCACGTCAAACCGGCGGCGAAACAGGTGAAGGACCTGGGCCTCGCGGAGCAGCTCTACCTCTACGAGCGCACCCGGCGCTTCAAGGCTCGCGGAAAGCGGTCGGAGCGAGCGGAGCGAGCGGAGCGAGCGGCAAGGGGCCCCGAGGTTTGGAGGGTCGTTTGTTTTTTTTTGCCTCGAAGGTGAAAGGTTAAAAGGACCACTCATGGGACATACCAAGAAAAACAAGAACAGCAACAAGATCATCTTTTCTTTTCTTTTCTTTTTCTTGGGGGGGAGTTGATCTGGCTCCTTGGTTTTGAGGGTGCCCGTTTTAACGTTGGTTTTGAAGGGAAACCACGGGTCTGTGTTTGTTGAGCGTAAGGCTAGCTTGAAGAAAAGTCACTAAGACAACCCGCCGTTTTGGGGCTGCCCCCATTTGGGCA